CCAAAGACATTTAAAGTATACTGGTCTTCAAGGGAAGATTTATGCACAACAGAAAACCTATCATGATATCAAATGATATCTTGATATCAGCTGGGTTTTTTGTGGTTTTTTTTTTTTTTTTAGGCAGCAGTGTTTAATTTATTTTAAGATCATTTTATCAGGGGGATATCAGCTGGTTTTAAGGGGAAGGGAGATGGCCCCAACCTTGGTGGCAGGAAGAACAAAGTCCTAGACTCACCAGGCAAATGCCACAAGCTCCCAGAGACACAGACAGGAACCAAGCATTTATCCACCTATTCTTTAATATTATGTAAATTATCAGCAGGAGCATAATTTTTTTAAGTGAGTTTCATCCTAAAGGGTAGGTCCAGAGTCATTTAGATTATTTTGCTGTCTCTCTCCAATTCTTCCACCTTGCCCGGAAAAAGTGCTACAAAGTATTGGCTACCTGGTCCTCTTTTCTGCAGTCCTATCAGTGACACTGGCGACTGGCAATGTAGACAGATAAATCCAACCAGCTCTGTGGAGAGAGAGACCCTGGGAGTAGGAAGCCTAAAGATTATCCGTGTCAGAGACAAAAGTTTATTTTTCTTCTTCTAGATGATCACATCGCTCATTTTACTTACAAAGCCACTTCTACAGTCACTGTGCGTTTCTACTATTGCAATAATGTCATTGTTGGCTGCCACAGTAGTTTATCCAGGCTTACTGTGGGACAAGACCTCTGAAGTTGACATCCAATCTGGCACAATCTGTAGCTCATTGCTTAGCCTCCACTGTGTGTTCTCAAACCTTCCGGGCCTATCTGCTCTCCCTTTACCCTCTCTTTCGTTCCAAGTCCTAACTCCCCTTGCACTTCCCAATGCTACCAGCTCCCCCACTTTCTGTCCACACCGCCTCCGACCCTTACCAGCCTCTCCTGACACATTTTCTCCCTCCTGCCTCCATTGATCTTCATTGTGTCCCTCACACTTCGAGCTGCCTCTGTCCCTTCCACCCGTTTCTACCCTTGATTTGCTATGGAGCTGGGCTCTGGTCCCCGGTCCCAGCCCTCTCCCCCTTCTAGCTCCCGTCCTCACTGTTCAGGCCCTCCTTTCTTCTTGCTTGCTGTTTTCAACCCCCTTCTCTACACACGCCCATCCTGGGCCAGCTGCCGTCTCCAAAAGTACAGGTGTTTACACAGCACGTCGCCGTTGGCTGGACGAGCCAGCCAGTGTGCTGGAAAAGGCAACAGGCCAGGAATGAAAAGCTAGACACTTGCTCCAGCTTTAACCAGTCACTTCATCTTCCTAGAGGGCTGAGGCCCGAAGAGTCACCTAGCTCCGGACAGGGAAATCATTACCTTCCACTTCAGAAAGCAGCTCATGGAACCAAACACTGGCCAATTTAGCTATCTCCCTGGTCAGGTAAAAACCTACTTTTGGGTTAACTTAAAAAAACAAAACCCAAAAGTCACTGCCAACTCTCAGCGATCCTATAAGACAGGGTAGAGCTGTGTAAGTATCTGAGGCTGTAACTCTTTATGGGAGTAGAAAGCCTCTTCTTTCTCCCTTGGAGTGGCTGGTAGTTTCGAACTGCTAACCCTGCAGTTAGCAGCCCAACATGTAACCACTACACGATACCAGGTATCATTTAATAGTCTAGGCCTACCTGCAGCTATACTAAGGGCAGAAGTAGCTCAGTGGTAGAATTCTCAACTGTCATCCTGGAGACCAGGGTTTAGTTCCCGGCCAATGCACCTCACAGGCAGTGGAGACTTGTGTGCTGCTATGATGCTGAATAGGTTTCCGCCCCAATTCCAGGAAAAGCAAGTTGGAAGGCCTGGCAATCTACTTCCAAAACCCAGCCAATAAAACCCTATGGATCACAAGAGTCTGCAGTTTCTCGGGGGCATGGTACATTAGGTTCCACTGGCCCTGGAGCCACCATGAATTAGGGGCAGCAGTGATAGCAGCAGCAGGGAACACACTTTTCAGCGATCTTTCCACAGCTCACAACCAGGCCGTCACTGCAGGGAAGCTGGTTCCCGTTCGGGAAAGGGAAGGGCTGGGGGTGTTGAGAGCCCTTCCAACGAAGGTGCCAGACACTACAGGAGCACAGATGTGTGTACCTGCTAGATGTAAGGGGGGGGGGATTGATACTTTTTTACTTTTTAAATTTAAAAACATGTTTTATTAAACTGTCATATGCATGTAGTAAGTCATTCGCAGATCTTAAATATATCGTTCAATGATTTTTTTTTAAGTAAATAAATAAAGTACCCTCTGGAGGTGGCAGTGCTAGTAACCTTAAACTACGGCATCAAATCCATTTGAACTCATGGCACCGAGGGAAGAAAGATTTGAAAGAAAAAGAGCCATGCATTTAAACTGAAAGGGGAAGAGGGGGTGCTGGGGGAAGGCTGTCAGCCTGCCATGCCTTGTTGAGGTGTCAACCTCCTTCTGACTCAGGACGAGCCTGGAGCACAGGGCAGAGCTGCCCTGCAGGGTTTCCCAGGCGGATATCCTCCTGGGAGCAAACCACCCATCTTCACAGCACGGGGCCAGTGTGCCACCACAGCTCCGTTTCCTCCCCTGACCAAGTCCGAATGTCGCCCTGTTGCCTCTCCTACCAAACCCATATCTGCTGCCATCGAGTCGAGACCTACTACAGTGACCCTACAGGGCACAGGGGACGGCACCTGGGGCTGCATCGTTACTGAGGCGGCTGCTCATCTCCCTCCAGCAGAGTGGCGGAGGGATTTCAATGGCCTAACTCAACCCACTGACTGCTCCAACCGGGCTCCTTACTTCTCCTGCCAGATCAAACTCTGGATCACAGAGTCCATTCCGACTCCTGGTGACTTTATACAAAACCTGGGGGTTTCCAAGAGGATCATGCTTCACAGGGGTAGAAAGCCTGCTCTTTCTCCCACAGGGCTTCTTCATCACGGTGACCTTTGTTCTCTGCCCCACCCCCCACCCCCCACTCGACCTTGTCAAGCAAACAGACAGCTCTCCACTGTAGGATGCAAACAGAGGCCATGTGTCTGAATGTCAACTGTATCTCAATAGGAAGTGTAGTCTCCTTTTAGTTAAATGCCCGAGCAGCCTCTGACTGATTTCTACCCGAGTCTGTCAAGGTCATAACCCACGGCTACACAGAGAAACAGTAAATGATTAACCCTGATTCTCCACTGGGCCTGAATTGGCCACAGGTTTCATCCCCTGCCAGTCACATGTCCCCCCCCAAATTCAGCAGCAGGAAGGTCCCGGTACACAGCACAAGCATGAAACTGTACTGTGGATCACTGAGCCAGCGAGGGAAACGGGCCAAGGTAGAGCCCCGGGCAGCACTGTTCCCACAGGAATGGGTGGAGGAAGCACAGCACAAGACAGGACACCCAGCTTCAAACAACAGACTGGGCTTTGGGGTTTGGCACACGCTAGACTCAAATTCAAAGTCATAAACGCAAGTGGATTCTGCAAGGCAAGCCCACTGTCCATTTCTAAAGCTTCGTGATGCCGTGCTTCTTGGTCCAAAGGCGTGAATAACTTGGTGTTTTCCAACTCTCGTCACAGGCCTCTATGCCTTCCCTGCATAGCCATCTGGCCAATCCATTCTCCCGGGCAGAGCAGGCATTAACAGGCTCTCAGACAGCCCAGGGGTAGAAATGACAACATTTTAACATCCATCCTCCATCTGCCTGGGTGCTTTCAGACCTTTCTTTAATACTACCTTTTCTGGACGCTGTCACTGACTTGCTTCACTCTATCCTTTGCCTTGGTACAAAACGTCTTTCAAGCATATGCAGCCCGTTTTCAAAATTATCAGTGCACTCGGAGTTTCCCTAAATTCACAAAGAGCCAGCGCTCCCCTCTTGGACCCCACCCTCAAAAAAGTATGTGCAGAACTGTAAAATCAAAAGTTGGGGGTGGGGGGTAGGTGTTAAAAGGATAAGGATGTGTTTGACCCTCTTCTCCCCTTAGTCGGCAAGGTCCCTGAGGACAAAGCTCATCGGCAGCTGTGGAATGTCCTGAGGAAAGGAACAAGCCTCTCCCGGTCCCACCCCAACTCCTACTCACCATGGACGACACAGCCCTCCTTTCTGCTACAGCCGTTCCGGGCAGCAAATGCCTTGACCTTTACTTGGTCTTCCACGAAATCCACCTCAAGCGGGTTTGTTCCCCAGGGATCATGGGGCAGGAGTTTTCCATTGCATCTGACTCTGCCTGGTCCCGGCAGACATTTCCGGAACCCTACAACTCACTACGGCACAGCTCGTCGCTTCGGGGGCCACTTACCAATCTAATGGCTTCCGCTGCAAAACATCCATTACCAACTATTGTACCCCAAGCCTACTGCTATCGTTTGGGCAAAGCCATTCCTTTCTGGGCTGCATGTCCTGGTGTCCCGTCGTCCAGCAGGCCCCCCACAGCCCCCTGCCATAGCCTGCGTAATAATCTCCTTAGAACCAGGTGGCTGGAGAGACCTCAGAGAAGCCATAGCGCCATCTTTGTGACATGCTGAACAAACTCTTCCAGACTGTACCATCTCACTTGGAAAGCCCCAGGGACAACTCTTTTACACAGAAAGACCCTGCTTGGGCCACACACGCTCCCAACAGCATCCCATGTAAGCCTTCAGTGTTGTCTTAGGAAAAAGAACAACATCCTGAAGCTGTGTCACACAGCTATCCCCACTGGCTTCTGACCTCCTCCCACACCAGACAGTCCCTACTGCACAGCCCAGCCTTGCTGCCCTTCAGTCAACGTGAATAGATGCTCCCTCCTGCCCTGTGGCAGGCTGCTCCCTCCCCCGGGACATTCTGTAATGTTGTTTATTTGATTTTGTTTCTTCCTTCAGATCTCCGCCCTCATTTCCGTCAAGGAAGTATCTCCTCCCTCCGTGCCCTCAACCAAGAGTATTTATCAAAAGAGAAATATACATTTATAAATGTGATTATTTCAATCATATCTGCCCGACCCACTAGGCTGAAATATCCACACACCATCCCCTACCCTTCTGTCCAGTGTCCTCCTGCTGCCCAGCACTGGGCTGGCATGAATGAACCGCTCCATGGATAGTTGCTTAACTAAGTAATGACTCTGCGTGGATGTACATACTCGGGACATGTGATCAGGCGAGACCCATCCCTGGAAAAAGACATAATGCGTGGTAAAGCCGAGGGTCAGCACAGGAGAGGAAGAGCCTCAGAGACGCTCGGACACCAGGCTGCTACAACAGGCTTGAAGAGAAGCAGCGTGAGGACGGTGCAGGGGCAGGCTGCGCGCCTTTCTGTTGTGAGTCGCTGTGCGGGGAACCGACGCGACACCTGAGCTTAGGAACTGATCTGGACTAGTCAATGACAAATCTCCCCAGCTGGTGAAGACTGTTCCCCAGGTCATCCGCTACAGGTGCCCCCCTATCCCCCACCCCCCACCCTAAAGGGGTTAAGACCTGTGAGGGTCAAGCATATACAGCGTGTCTTTGAGAGCAGTCTATTCAGCTGCTCTTCCTGGGCCGGGGCGAGGTCTTCTTCTTGCCTTCTCCACCCCAGTCAGTCTTCCCACTTTCTCTCACACAGCATGTGAATGCGAGATGGGCTTGTGGGGCACCTGAGGGTGCCAGGTGCTGCCATCAGGCCCATTGGAGCCAATAGGAAACACCTGCCTCCTACAAGCTCAGGAGAGGGGACGCCACAGTATCTTCACTTAAAAACCACCAGCTGCCCTCCCTATCCCTGCAGGAGGCATCTTCCTAATGCAATTCCTCTTCCTCCTCTACTGAGACTCTAATGGCAAGATGCTCTCCAAATCAATAGCAGCAAATGGCCCCGGGCAGAGGGGCTGGCTATGGAAGATAACACCTATGGCAAGCACCACAATTGCAGCCCTGCCCCACACCTAACGCTCATCTGTATAACTTTGAGTGAGAGAGAGAGAGAGTCCAAAGAGGTCATCTTGATAGATTTTCTCAAAGGACTTAGGACAATCATGAAGCTCATTATGATTAAATTTTAAGAAAAAACTGCACTGGTGAGAAAAAGACCAGGAGAGTTGAACCAAGGACTATTTTCTCCATCATGACAATGCACCTGCTCCTTCTTTGAGCGTAACCGCGGCTGTCCCATGAGGGTAAATGACTTTGTTGGGAAACCTTACCACATCCACCTCCACAGCCCTGAGCTTGTTCCTCAAGTTTCTTTTTGTTCCCACAACCCAAACGCAGGTGAAAAGCAGCACGGCTTGTATCCCGCGAGGGCGCCCAAACTGCCAGGTCAGCGTCATGCACCGAAAGGGGTACACTCTCCAGGAAGGGTTAGAGACAGCAGCACCACCTTCAGAAGTGGACAGACCTGGATGGAAGGCGTGTCGAGAAACAAGTTTAAAAAGCGGGAAGAGCTTCACGTTTATAGTTTTAAAGGTTGCTATGATGTTGCAGCACAACTGTTTTGACTTACTCTCATGCAAAATTATCCCACTTTCATGGAACTGGTCAATGTATACAGACCAAAGCGTATTAGTGGTTCCCAAGGGTTGAAAGGAGGTGGAGAGGAAGAATCATTGCTTAGAGGCCAACGACTACTCCATAAATGGTAGTGTGACAACTTGGAAAAGAAGAAAAGTAATGATTCCATAACCTGATGAACATAATCGGTGGCAACAAGTTGCATATGTAAAGCATATGAAGTTGGCAAATACATTACACACACACAAAGAGGGCTTCTAACAGCTCACAGAGAAATGGCATTAAAATTTAATACTGGGATTTTTCCACAAAGTTTCTTAAGGCTTCATATGCTTACACCATTTTTTTTAAGGGTCCATCATCCGTTTTCCCCAGGGCACTGGCCTGAAGGATGCCTGTGATGTGTGGGACTGAGCCACAGGGCAGAACTGCGGAGCTCCACGGGAGCTTTCGATGTGAACGTCTCAGGGCATCACACCGGAACCTGGGGCTTAATCAAGACCAAATGCAGAAGAGTGACACAACTATCATACGAGTCCTCTCTGGCAAAGGAAAAAACTAGGAAGAGTGTGAGAGACCATTTGAAACCACGGCTCTTACCCACTATCCTCTTGCTAACCGAAGGTTTGGTGTGACTCGAGAGAGTGTTGAGTCTTTTCCTGGGAACTTGGCTGCAAACCCACTGCTTCCCCCACTCTCAGTAAGTGCCAATAAGCTGCTCATGTGAGGTGAAAATCCTGTGAAGTCAAGAAGCCGAGGAAAATGGGACCTTCCCACCGTTTGCTCAGCTAACCTGGCTCTCTCGGAGAAAGCAGCAAAGAGCCTTCCTACTGCACCAGCCGTGTCTCAAGGAGGCTGTCTATTGATTCACCAATCAGTACGTACTTCAGTTCGTTTCTCTAAAAGTCTTTAAAAGAACACCATAGCAATATTATGGCCCCTAAAGAATTTGCTTAATTTCCAAATATTATTAAACATATAGAGGGTATTTAAATGGCCCGTCATTTAAAAAAATTATTTTGGTTTGCTTTTCCATATGGCTGGTTTGATTCAGGATCCGAAACAGTATAAACCCGGGTCTGGTCCCCTGGCTGCCCTTTTGTTGTATTGTTGGACACAGACAAAGCGGAATCCACTCATATTGACCCATGTGATGGAGTCGCACTATCCCACAGGGTTTCCTAGGCTGAGCTGTGTGAGAGCAGGTTGCCGGGTCTTTTCTGCTTCAGCCCTGTAAATAAGGACTATGCCACCAGGTGTTCAACTGTCAGAAACCCTCATGGCAACTCCACTTGCATCTGCCCATTCCCGGAGTCCACTATGTCTACTGAACACCTGGTAACAGTGGAGATGTCATGGGAGAACAGGATGACAGTGGCTTGTAAGGCAAGGAAGAAAAACCAAGAACAAAATTCCCAACACCACCACGATAAGGTATGAGAGCTAACAAGGCATGTTTTTCAAGGAGCTAGCATCTGAACTGAGACCGATCTCTGAGACTGCTTAAGAAACTGCACTGCCTTGGGCTTCTCCTTCGCATAAGGGCAGGGAAGGGCTTGAGGGATGAGAAAGAGAAGTTGAGAGTGGGGAACGCTTTTCATTTTGCTCCCAGATGGCAGACTGCTTCACACCCATTTCTCCAACTGGGTTCCAGCCTCTGCCACAAACGAGGACAAAGAACACTCTTCCTTTTCCAAGACGGAGAACGTCCCAATGACCATGGTGTGAAACACGACGCCAAAGCACTTAGCCACGTCCTTTAAAGGAAAGTTGGACAGACAGAATCCATAGTGGTAAGAGACCAGGAGAAGCCATTTCCCTACAGCAAAAACTTCTGTATCCCTAGAGCAAGAACTTAAAGAACTCGAAGAAGACTTCCAGCCACTCCTGCTTTGCTGGGCGGGTGCCATTCATTCTGCTCAATGAGGGAACCCTGCATAACCAGGGCATTCAGGGGTTCTTGTCCACTCTTTTAAATGTGTGGTCATTTGGGTCGATAAAAACAAAACATTCATAGAGAGTAGCCATTTCAAAGACCTGGAAAAAGTTTGCCAAATGTCCTGACAATGAAAAACTTTTAGTGTTCAAACTCGGGCCAGGATGAAATGTTTGTTATCTGACAATGATAAAACTAGCAGCACCTTAGAGAATTTGTCCCGGGGTCAGGGCAAAAACTAGAAAACCTGCAATGAGGGGAAGTTAGGTTGCCTCCTAAGATTTAACAAAGAAGTAAACTTCTCAATGCACAGCAGTTCCTTAAAGAAATGTCAGCGCAGAATCACAGTGGTGGGTGGGTCCTTCCTCTGCGGTGGGAGGAGGGGCTGGTGCTCCACGTGTAAGGCACACTCTCTGCAAAGTTCAGAGTACGACCTTTACTTCCCTCTCCCGTGAGCATGTAGGAGAATCAGATCAGACGCTACCCCCGGAGAGGAAGTCAAGGAGACTGCTACCCAGGTTCCTGTCCGTACACGTAGCTTAGTCTCGAGAGGGGGCCTCCAAACACCAATCAAAACCGTGAATTCTAAGGAGATATACTGGGTCAGTTCATCTCAACAGAGAGGTCAGCTCTGGAGGTTATGCTAACTGTTTATGGGAAGGACCTCGAAGGGGTAAGCTTGACTGATTTTCTCAAAGAACACAGGACAATCACATGGGCTTAAGATACAGGAAATTTAAGAAAGCTGAAAATTGAATTGGTGAGAAAAACACAAGAAAAGTTTTCTCTGAGAACTTTTTTCCCTCACAGCAATGCATCCGCTCCTTCTTTGAGGCTGTCTTAGGAAAATGTCACTGGGTAGCCTTTTCTCTTATCTTGCCTTTCCAGGCTTCTATTTGTTCCCAAAACCCAAGGCACATTTTAGAGGGACATGATTTGAATCCTTTAAGGATGCCCAAGCCGCCATGGTATAACTAAAGAGTGGATTAAAATGATGGGCACTAACATCTACAACCGAGACCTTCAAAAGGGTCAAAATCCGTAACCTACATGCCTCAAGATCATCTCAGTTTCATGCAAGAAAGAGATCCCCTTTCGCCAACCATCCCGCATAGCACATTTGTGACCATCAAGAGGCTGCCAGGTCAAGGGTGGAGCAAGACCATTCTTCCTTAGTCAAATCCCTACAAATGCCCATCTGTGTCCAGGACCATCCTTAACAATCACGGCAGAGCAACTCCACACACAGCAAGTTACTGCTGCAACCCTGACACGGTGGGTCGGAGGAGAGCTGTTTTACTTAGTGGTCTGTCCGGTGTCCCCAGTGAAGCACAGCACACAAAGGTCGATGACAAGGACAATGGACTATTGCATGGAAATGAGACAGCTGGGAAAGACAGGCATGTATTCTCAAAGCTATGAAAATTTTATCAATCTCCCTTGTTTCCATCAGATTAAATAGAATCTCAAAAACGTGGAGACAGGCATATCAAGGAGTGACATATTTTTGAGATATTTTTTCTATCAAAGTTAAAATAATTCAAAGAAGACTATTCCCCAGACATTTTCAATAAACTTGTCTTTCATTTCCTGTCATTTGTAATAACTATGTTCTAATAGAAAATGGGTGAATTATCGAAGAGCTTAGGAGAGACAGCTCTACCAGCTAGAGCCATTGCCGTAATCACCCCAGCATAAACAAATAACACCAAGGTTCTTTTCCGGCTTCCTCTTTGGTCGACGGATTGCAATGAATCTTTAAATTTATCCAACACATGGTTTACCCTGCCCTCTTTCTCCAAAGATATTATGAAATGTCAAAACATTTCTCCATCAAAATGCAGCCTTTCTCTTCTCCGACGGGCTATATGTGGTCCATATCAAACAACATCAACCCAATCTAGAATACATTTGGAGGAGCCAAGAATTCAATTAAGAGAAAAGTTCTTTTTAAAGGGTTTGGACAAGCCTTCCTGTAATTTTGCTGAAAAGAGCCCGACTTTTTTTTTTAAATAATATTTATCAACGTAAAGAGGTCAACAGCCACACCCACGGAGCTTATTCGTTACTGGCCGGCTGTATTTCAAAGCCACGTTTCACTGTGTAACTAAAGTGGATTGGTGGATGGGCGGGAAAGAAGTGTTCCCTCTCCCAGCATCCCCTGAGGTTGGAGTGGGCCCGCTGCAGTGGCCTCACCTTGGTGGCCTCTTCAACACTCTCCCTCAAGGCCTGCAGCTCGGCGTCGTATTGCTCCTTCAGCTTGTCCATCTCCTGGTCGTGGCTGGCCACCTCCTCTTTCAGAGCCCCCTTCAGGGCAGTGAGCTCCCGCTCCCGCCTTCTCAAGAGGTCTTCTTGCTCTTCTTTGGCGATCAGCAGATCTTGCAGATCCTGTTTTGCCTCTAGGAGTTCCTAATGAAAGGGAAAACGGACGAGAGGGAGCTGAAACACCTTTGTCAACAGGGCCTGCCTCTCCACTCCACGTCAGCCACCCCCGTCCATCGGTCCCCAGTCCCTCTGTTCTTCCGCACACGGGAACGTCCCAGCCCGCCCAACTGATCCTCTCTCCCTGAGGTCCTCAGAACCCGTCCCTCTCCTTGACTGAGTGACCTTTGAGACTTTATTGATGGAAATAATGTAATTTTTCAACTTTGAGGTGACGGGTTTGTCTTCCCACCTTTCCCTTCAGTATAACAGCCTGCTGTCCTGATCGTGGACATCCGTGTGCCGTTTCTTCCTCAGGGACATGCCAGTTTATTGGCCTCAAACCCTAATCTCCATTTCCAAAACGGGGGGGGGGGGGGAGAGGAGAGTGTTCATTCCTTCTTTCCCTAACAGTCGCCTATGTGAGCAGAGAACAACACTCACACCGTTCTCCTCCTCAATGACCTTTAGTTCACAGTGAGGTTACAAAACTGGGACAAGCTTCACTACAAATCACATTACCCAAACCAGGAGTGCCCAGCCAAACGCTCAGAAATGCCTTCTAATGCCGCGTCTTCGTTGTATTAAGCACGCCAATGATCCCAGACTTTCTCAGCTCAGGATGTGTCCACTCCCCAAACTTCACACTTGACTAGCTGCCTTCAAGTCAATCATCATGTCAATGAGGACTCATCGAGACCCCCTGTGGTTGTCCCAGACTTACGGGAGTAGAAAGTCCAGTCTTTCCCCCAGGTGCTGCTGGTGGTTTCAAACTGCTGACCATGCAGATCGCAGCCCAACTTGTAACCGGTACACCACCAGGGCTCCTCAACTAGGAGACTTGAATACGCACACTTCCTCTCTACCTCAAAGCTCCCTGCAAGCCATGCTTTCACCCCACCTGAAGCTACTGCACAGAGAACGCACGATCTATCCCCCATTAGCCTGCTCCAAGTCTCTACTCCATCAATTATCTTATCTTTCTGGCATTTTTGCTCTTTTCCTTTTACTTGAATCTATGTCTTCTTCCCTCCGAGCACAAGAGTCTCCTGGATCGAGGAGGGCAAACCCCTCTGCTTGGCTACCCACCAAGTGTGACCACCAAAACTTTGAAAGCATCATGTTTGAAGATAACGTTTGAAAAAGCTAATGGCCCCGAGTGGTGCAAATGGTTTGCACTCAATTACTAACCCCGTGGTCTTGCAGAAGCTAGGCCTGACAATTTATTTCTATGAAGATTACAGCCAAGAAACACTGTAGCACATGGGTTGCCATGAGTTGGAATCAACTTGACAACGGGTTTGACTTTTTGTTTTATAATACATCTATCTTCCCCCTTTAAAGCCACAGAGACCTCCTAACCATCATCTCCAATAGCCTCTTGCCCAGTCCTCACGGTTCTTGACGCCTCCCTGACCCTCCCCTGCCTGGTTCCTTAGAACATTCTACTGCCTGTTCAAGCACACTACACACTCCTGCTTTCTTCCCTCAGGCCACTTGCTCTGTAACAATCTTCTCCGGATTTTCTCTTCCCAATGGCTAAGATGTTCCTCAAGATTGCAATTTTGCTACCTTTTTCTCCATTCTTTTTTGGGCAAGTTCACCTCATCTCTCCCCACCCCCCCAATTCTATGCAAATGACTCCCAAACTTTTACCTCCAACACTTGCGCGCAGACCTGCTCCTCTGGTTCCCCGCATTTCCTTTTCCTTTGGTCAGTCTTCTTGTGAATGGCACCAGCTGCCTCAGCAACAGTCTCTCTCCTTTCCTCGTCCCTCATAACCAAACAGTTACCTCTGTCCCGTCTTACCTCCTTTCCCTCAGCACCCTGCCTGAGCTGTCATCAACTCCTGCCCAAGTGGCTTAGAAGAGTCCTCGAACCGCTCACTGGTTCCAGGCTCCTAGTGAGGCTTCTAAGACCTTATCCATGCAACCCTCTGCCTGAAGTAACCTCCTTCTCTCTCAATCCACCTCTCTCTGCCTTTCAGAATCTCCTGCAAGACATCTCCCTTGAATATGTTCTTGACTGCCCATCTCACTGGAGCTCTACTTCCCATAGCACGTGGCAGTCTTCACCTTGCTGTCCATACACTGACAGTCTCTTCTTATCTCCGCTACCACACTTTCAACTCCTTGAAAGAAGACTACAGTTCAAATTTACTATATTTACTGACACCTGGATCAATGGTGTTGGGGGAAGGGATGTGTTCATTTTAGGTGAAAATAAATTAAGACCAGTAGTTCAGCAGGAATCTGAGCATGGCAGACTTCTAAATTAGACTGATTTTTTAAAAACTCAGGGCTTCTGAAAAAAACACACATCCTATTTCTCTGGACGGAATCCTGGTGGCACAGTTAGCTCGGCACTGAAAGGCAGCCAGTTCAAACCAACCATCAGCTCTGCAGGGAAAAAATGAGGCAGTCTGCTTCTGTACAGATTACAGCCTTGGAACCCCCTGGGGCCATGCTACTCTGCACTACAGAGTCACTGCCAGTCAGAATCCACTTCATGGCACTCAACAATAGCATTCCCTTGGAGCACCGAGAGATGGTGACCATCGAGGGACCCAGAATGCTACTTTCCTTGCAAGCTTACGTCCCTGATGAGGGGATAAAGCCACTTTGCCGTCTCTGGGATGTGCAAGCCCCCTGAATCTGGGGAACCGCTGCATTCCTACGGTGGAGGTCCTGGCACAGACCAAGACTCAGCCCTTCAAGAACCTAACTGGCAGGCATTCATTCGCTTGGATGTAACACCAAGACATTCATCTAGGTAATCAGAGCAACTCTGGTTCTTCCAAAGCCCAAACACAGAGCCCTTCTGACATTCATCAAAGGAGAATCCATACTGTGGCCACTGCCCTCCCCCCCTTAAGAAGGACTAGAGCCTGCCCCAATCACTATTACTACGCTGCCTGGGAGGTCTCCCTAGAGCAGGGGTCCTCAAACTGCGAGGACCGAGGACATTTATCCAGGCCACGGGGTGATTTCGCCCCGTTTGTCTCATTACTTCAAAATAAGATATGTGCAGTGTGCATAGGAATTTGTTCATAGTTTGTTTTTTTTAACTATTGTCTGGCCCTCCAACGGGTCTGAGGGACAATGGGACAGTGAACTGGGCCCCTGTTTAAAAAGTTTGAGGACCCCTGCCCTAGAGGCTTCTGCCAGCTTCTGTAAACAGCTCTTGTGATTGTGGCCACTTTCCTGCTTCTACTCTGACACATTCCCCATTGTTTTGATGATAAGGTAGTTCCTCTTCCCACACTTATCTCTCCCAGGACATATCTGTGTTGTGTGCTGCTGCCAAGGCTTGTCAAGAACCAGGGGGGTGGGGTGGAGGCATATCATGGTCCATTCTACACCGACAAGCTGTTATCTGGGGCTGGGGCTGGGGTTTAAGTGGTCTGTGTTGCACAAATCCAATCAGATTACACACCTCACCATTCCACGTTATAGCACTCGAATTTTTCCAGAAGAGACACCAATAGGTACACAAGATTTCAAAAACTTCACTTCATCAACTCAAGTCTTTGTGAACAGATTTATCAAGACTAAG